ATAGGACGCTACGCGCCTGCAAAGTCTATTATGAAAAAATGCAGTGGGTGATGACTTAAGACGAAAACGAAAATGAAAAAAGAAAACGGTTATATGAGTGACATCAACAACCTACGCATGTTCTTGGAACGGTGTTTGAACGTAAAAATGGAAGACATATTGACTTTTTTGGCCAAGTCAAACTGGGTCTCAACAAGGGCTACTCGGTAAGAGGGGCTGGTCCGGCCCACTTACTACTTTCAAACATTTTACCACAGAAGGTTCACCCTTCACGGTGATTCAACCCGGGTTCTTAGGCAACCCAGGGGTAATGTAAAGAGCCTCTTATAGCTCCAGCTGTAGCTATAATTTTACATTCGTCCAACACCCATCTTAGCTTAACCATTCGCATGCACTTTGTGGGATCATAGTCTAATTGATCCTTTGTTACCTTATTCGACATAACCCTAACTTGTTTTTGAATTGAAATAAACTCTAATAAAAACATTTCACAATGATGATTAAATTGGTGAACCCCCAAGCAATAGTAGGAGAGAGAAACATTTTAAAATTATGCTGCCCAGTTTCAATAATTTCATTTGCGATGGTTTTAGGGTCGCCATTCGTAACGGGCTGTGTCGTCGGCGTCTGCAGACGAGACGACACAGCGATTAGCCTGAAGTTTCATTAGCACCTTCTGTTTTCCTGTTTCCTTTATTCGCAGCGAGTCTTCCCTCTTCTCGGTTAGCTTTTGTCGTCATTTCTGGTGATGGTACGGTTGGCGAATCGGTAAACACTAGAAGGTAAAAGAAAGTTTAAAATGTAGGCTTTAGGTTTTTCTCTAGCTTACGAAATAAATCAAAACATGCGCCGTAACAACATGACGCGGAGGGAATCAAATGAATCCATTGCTAATTCGGGCCAACTTTTTTTTATAGAGAAACAAACTGATATTTGAAAGGGAGGAATGAGCTGCGTTTTGATTGTTACTACATCCTGTTTAGAATCACTGATGATCCTTGCAATCTTACTGGCTCTCGGCAGTGTTGTGCATTCAGGGTTTACACAATAGTTTTTTTCTGAATGAAACACAAAAACAGAAAAACCGTTTGTCAAGGCTTGAAGTTGTGCACTGTAACAAATCAAATTGTAGGGGAAAAGGTAATGTAAGAAATGAAAGAGGGACAGTTAACATTCGCGTAATGCAAACTTAGTCTAAAATCATAATTAGTTATTTCCAATCGATCACATGCTGCACGCTCGTACGATTTGAGCTCTAGTCAGACTACTCTCCTCTGTGAAATTGTGCGCATTTTGAAACTATTTGGCAGACTAATTTCCCATTGTGTACCCTCGCAGGTATCGCACCCAATATCTCTCTTCGATCAGAAGCGTCTCCGTTCATCAATAAAGGGAAGTTACTCTACCTGAGCAGCCGTAGATTTCCACCCTCATCGATATGTGATTGTGCCACTCAACAGGCATCAGGCGAATGTA